AAAAAAAAAAGAATATTTCCTGTGAAAATGTGACCCTTAGAAAAGGGCCAGGGGGCAGTTTCTTCTTTTTTTTTTGGGGGGGGGGTGCTGGGGAATCAAACTTGGGACCTTATACTTGGCCAAGCAGGCACTTATGCCACTGAGCTATTTCCTTGGCCCAGAACAGGGCCAGTTTTCCTAGAGGAACCAGCTGAGGCTCTGGTTCCCCCAACAGGACACTGTAGGATCCACGATGTCAACAATGAGCAAACTCTGCTTGGATGCAAAAGGTAAACTGCACTCACCTGAAGCTGGTCAGCCAGCAACCCAGGAGTCCTCCCTTTTCCCAACAGGCAATCTGCCCTGGGCATCCAGGGACCACAGGAAGCAAAACAACAACAACAAAAAAAGGCTCAGGCAAGTCACCAGATGTCCTCAAGCTCCAACAGAATAGCGCCTCCTCTTTCTTAACGACATCAGGAGTGAATCTGGCACCAAAGAACAGAAGGAAAGAACTGCAGGCTGCTTCCCAGAGCTGGGGTGAGGTCAAGCTGCGCCAACAGGCTGCTGTCCCGGGGCAGGAAGTGGTCTCTCTGCACCTGTTACCAAAAAACGAAAGGTAAGACCAGTGGGCACTGAGAATACACGAGACTGGCCCAGACGCCCTGTAAGAAAGAGCTCATTCTATCCTTACCACATCCCATTGAAGCAGAAGGTGCTGTCATTTTATACCTGAGAACCTTAACACACTGTGAGATCAGTCTCGTGGTTAAGGTGACTCAAATTATCAAATGACAGCCAGTAGAAATCTCTGGCTGTGGAGACCAGACTTGAAGGCTGTGCAGATCCTCCGTGTGCCCACTTTAAGATTAAACCCAGATCTGTTGTAAGGTAGTTAAGTGTTCAGTCTGAGCAACAAATCTGTGCAGTTCTATCTACTTCTGGCTGTCTGAAATTTCTCCACCATAAAGCATAAAAGTCGTAGTTAAAATCTTGTGAGTTTAATCCTGGTCAATGATTGCTGCCAGGTCCTTGAAAATTCTTGGGAGTGTGTCCCCCCACCCCACCCCCGCGCGCGCCCCGGCTTGACTTCCTCCTCCAAGGTGGACCCAGGGCAGCCAGAAAAACTGATACCCTAACGAAGATCGCGCCACGGCACCACTGCACACCCATCGAGCCCGGGCTTATTGGGCTAAATTCCCTCTGCCCGCCCTGCCTCAACAAGACCTGGGGAGTGGCTGGGTTCCACGACTGCCAGCTCCCAACCCACAAACCCCTGGGACAGTGGACGCTAGGGACAGTTCCATGCAGCCTAGGGAATAGGAGACCCCTACTTACTATTCAACACCCTTGCCCCCTCCCTCCCCAGCCCCGAAACTTGGCATAACGGCCCCTTTCCCTAAAACGCAACTTTAACTTAGACAGACTGTCCCCACCCGCAAGAATCATCGGAAGAAGGCCTGAGCCTGGCACCCACCAAGCTACCACCCGGTTCCACGGCTGAGGTTCACCCGACTCCCCCCAGGCCCCTTAAATAAAGACACAGGGAGTGCGTGGCCGAGCCGCCGGCGTCTCCACCACACTCTCCTCCCGCGCATCCGCCCCGCCCTGGACTCTTCCCGCAGAACAGCGAGACCTTCCCTTCCGGGCAGAAAAGGGCAAGAGTACAACACGGTTTCCGAACTGAAGCTTCACTCACCAGCGCCACCAAAGAACAAGGGGTTGCGCCAGCCACTAGCTTGGTGATCTCCCACACCAGGGCGCCAGGACTACACTTCCCAGGATGCTCAGCAGTCACACTTCCCAAGATGCTCCGCCCCTGAGCCACAGCTCCCACAATGCTCCGCGAAACCGGAAGCGCGCTGCTTGCGGGTAGTGCGATCTTGTCTGCTGGAGAATCGCCACTGTATGTCCCCTTTCTCTTCAAACAAATAGTCATCCAGGTGAAGCTCGCTCTGCCATGACTGTTTTGCTCAGTGCCTCTATTTCCAAGACTACATTCTCCGGTGACGCCCGCAGTGACTTCCACGTCCGGTGTCCGGCTCACCCCCTGAGAGCGGAAATGACGTGCCAGGGGCGCTTCTTTTTGCTTCGAAGTGTAGCCGGCTTCTGCTGGGTTTGCACCTCCAACATCAAATTTCTGAGACCGGGCCCTGAAACCTAATGCCCTCGGGGATCATGCTTTTTCTTCTTACTAGAATCAAGAAAGTTACAGATTATTAAAAAAAAAAAGAAAGAAAGTTACAGATTATCTTCTTGTCCTGGAGACAGAAGCCCCGATTTTAGGCCATGACTTGGATCACAGCTGATCACAGCTGTTGACTTGGCTCCGTGGATCTTTGTTCAAGATCCTCCTAGAAAACAGAGCCATGCAACAGTTTAGGAGCTGAAGAAAAGCAGTTCTTCATTCCTGAGAGGGCTTTTTTCCTGGGGACTACAGTCCAAGATCCATTGTGATAAAATATGACGCTTCATCCTCCAGGAAAACCAAAGAGATGACTGCATGGCTAGGGGATTCTGGAGATGAGACCGTCCTCAAATTACTTAGCTCTTGAAGGATAAATCTATTTCCTTTCTCTTACCTCTGGCTGCACTGTAAATTCAGTTCAGTTCTGGCCCAGAAACACCCAGTCATGGAGCCCATTCCTTGATGTCGTTCTTTGATCCACCCACAATTTACCAAGTTAATCAACTTCCCCTCTTAGAGCACCATTTACGTATGTTAGACCGGTTAATGTTGTCCCATTTGAGGCCCTGTACAATTTTGCTCAATATTTTTGTCAGATTTCTTAATCTGTTGATTTGTCTTCCAGTTTACTTGATAGCTTCAATCTTTTAAATGCCATTTGTAAATTTAAAAAAATTTTTTAGTCTTTTTGTTGTTCTAGAATTCCTACTCTAGTTGGCATGGTGGTGCATGCTTGTAATCCCAGCATTTGGGAGACTGAGAAAGGAAAATTGCCCTAAGTTCAAGGCCAACCTGAACTACGTAATGAGACCCTGTATTAAAAAAAAATTTTAAATCCCACTTTCTTTTCACAAGTTTTGCTTCTTTAGCAAGGAGTTATATAGGAGTCCCCACCTGATTCTCATCTTGGCCCAATAAGTCTGTATTTATTTATTTTTTGGTGGACCCAGGGATTAAACTCAGGCTCTTGCACTTATTCTACTGAGCCAACACCCCAATAAATCTGTATTTGTAATCCCAAAATTACACCTATTGGAATCCCACCACATTAATTCCAGTATACCACTCCCAGTGCAACCCACAGCGAAAACAAAAATAAGACATCTGTATAATTATCGGGGAGCCAAGGGGCCCTAAGTCCAGCCCCCAAGATGGCTTTCAGAACAGAGTGATGGTGGGGGGTAATTCAGCTGAGAAGGAGGAGTGGCTTGAGGAAGAGAATTGTGGGGAGTAGGTGATGACTGAGCTGGACTAAGTGGGTGGCCTACATTTACCTCTGTCATATGCAGAGAGAGTAATTTGCATTATGCTATTGAGGCAGTATCTAATGTTTCCAGGGTCTGGTGCTTCAGCTCTGATGTGTAATCTTTCAAGCTCCAGGAAGTCATAGCCTCTATCTCAAGACTCAATCCAGCCAGCGGTGTGGAACCCTGGCTCTTCCTCCTGCCTTGACCTGGCTCATATTGGAGAGCAGCAGGTGTGGGTTATCAGGGAAACACACATGCCATCTTCAAAGACTTACCACCAGCACCTTGGCTAGACTAAGGTACACTGTGGCTTAAGACCAATTGAAAGGGGGCCTGCCCCTTAACTCAGTTCTTTAAGTGGCTGCTTCAACAAAGCAGTCAAGCTCAGGTTGCTGTGGTTTGATCCGCACAACTCAAGCCAGCCAAACCTGCCCTGAAGGCATTCGGAGAAAAAAAAAAAAATCCTAAAAAAAAAAAAAGACCAATTGAAAGGATAAAGAGAAGTCCTAGCCAGCTCTGTACATATCAGTATAAGGAAATAGGGTCAGGCTCAGCCAAAATGAAGATAATCACTCTTCTTTCAAGGAGAGCTGCTTAGGAGGTCCTCCAAAGAGTTCTAACCATATTTGCTCATTTAATATCTTAATAATAAGTGATGTAAATTGTTGATAAAGACATCTGGGTCATCCCAGGATTTTTTTGTTGACAGTGTGACAGTGTATTATAGTTGAGTGGGCCAAAAATAGCTTTTTGTGTGTGACAAGGAAAGACTTGCAAGTATACACATCATGGTATGTAGTAAGTAGCTACATTAATTGAGGATCACAGGATGATACCATCAACAGATAGAAGCACAAAGGGAAAAAGAGGGTGAAGTGGGGGAAAGGGCAAAAGAAGAAGGAACTCAATAACTCAGCCTTACAATAGTAGAGGGCCAGGCACCATTGATCCAAGGTGCCACCCACGATCTTTCTGTCTGATGTCAGCAATCTGTGTGACTTCCTAAGTTTAAACCTAGATAATCATTAGGGTGGTGTTTGGTTTGTGGTTGAATGGAAACGAAGTCTCTCACACAACTTGCCTGTTTTAGGATTGTGGAAGCATGGATAATCATTAGGGTGGAAGAGTCCTGATACCTGAAAATCTGAGGAGAGTTGAAGTCCCTTCTTCTATAGCTATTTCTGGTTGAATAGGGGCATTGACTCTACTTATGCAGAGCCCAAGAATCTCTTCTCTGACTAATCTAGGAGTGAGCCCTTCCTCCAAAGATTTGTTGATGAACCATGGACATGGAAAGAAGTTCTGACATCAAATTATGGTCAACACCAGAAGGTTGATGACTTGTTTGGAACCTTTACCGCTGTATCATCATTTGGGATTTCGGGGGCCGGGGAGATGACTCAGTGGAATAAGTGCTTCCCTGGCAAGCACAAGGACCTGAGTTCAATCCCCGGTTCCACAGGAAAAAAAAAAAAAAAAAAAAAGAGGGCTGGGGCTATAGCTCAGCAGTAAGCCTACAAAATTTTTATTAGATTTATGTAAATCTAGGGGCCGGGGAGATGGCTCAGTAGAATAAGTGCTTGCCTGGCAAGAGCAAGGCCCTAGTTCAATCCCAAATTCTGCATATATATATATATATGTATATATATATAACAAATTAACAGAAAACTAGTTCAATTCAGGGTAACAGGGAATCACGGCTCCTCAACCAGTTCCCAGATTTGAGTCACTTTCAGACCCAGAACCCCTTGAGTAAAGGGGAGGCTGAGTCCCCATGGGGAAAGATCTGGAAGTGCCAAAAATTTTTACAGTCTTTCTCACATTCTTCCCCAGAGGGACCTACAGCCCTTTGCCCAAGTGACTGTATACTGGGGAAAGGAGATTGGCCAGATGTTCCAGGGACTATGGAACACTGGTTGTGAACGTATACTGATTGTACAGAATTCAAAACACGGAGGTTTAGCAAAGGTCTGACTCACAGTAGATCCAATAGGTCCTTGAATCCATCTTGTAGTCGTTTCCCTTGTTCCACAATGTATAATTGGGTACATGTACTTAGTACTTGTCAGAATCCTCACTTTGGTTCCCTAACTTGTTGTGTGGGGGCTGTTATGGTTGATAAGGCCAAATGGAAGCCATTAAAGTTGCCTTTGCCTGGTAAAATAGTAAACCAAAAGCAGTATTGCATTCCTAGAGGGATTACAGAGATCAGTGCTGCCACCGAGGACTTTGAAGGATGCGGGGGTGATGGTCACCACATCTCCTTTTAATTCTCCCATTTAGCCTGAGCACAAGATAGATAGGTCTTGGGGCTGGTGAGATGGCTCAGTGGTCTAAAGCACTTACTTAGAACAAGCAAAGCACACGGACCGTGGTTCAATCCCCCAGCACCACATGCCAGCCAGCCCCGCCCCCTGGTGGGCTGAACTGGTCACACACACACACAAATAAATAAAATTTAAAAAAAAAAGATGGATAGGTCTTGGACAGTGAACTGCTGTAAACTGAATCAAGTGATGATGCCAACTTCAGCTCTGGTACTTGATATGCAGCTATTGATTTGGCAAATGCCTTCTTCTCCATTCTTGTCCATAAGGACCATCAGCAACAATTTGCTTTCACCTGGCAAGACGAGCAGTATACCTTCACAGTCTTACCTTGGGGATATATTAACTCACCAACCCTGTGTCACGACTTAGTTTGTAGGGATCTTGATCCCTTTCTCTCTTGGTTCATTAAATTAGTGATATTTTGCTAATTGAGCCTAGTCAGGAGGAGATAGCAACCACTCTGGATTTATTAGTACACTGTTTGACAACCAGAGGATGGGAAATAAATCCAACAAAAATTCAAAGTCTTTATACCTCAGTGAAACTTCTAGGAGTTGGGCTGGTGAGATGGCTCAGTGGTCTAAAGCACCTACTTAGAACAAGCTTAGCAAAGCACAGGGACTGTGGTTCAATCCCCCAGCACCACGTGCCAGCGGCCCTGCCCCCTGGTGAGCTGAGCTGGCCACACACACACACACACACACACACAAATAAATAAATAAAATTAAAATTTAAAAAAGAATTTAAAAAATTCTAGGAGTCTAATGGTGTGGAGCATGCAGACATACTCCTTCTAAGATAAAAGATATGTTGTTAATCTGGCTTCTCTTATGACCGATTGCCGAGTGACTCAGAAAGCTGCTAGTTTTGAGTGGAGCCCAGAACAGTAAAAGGCTCCTCAGTGGGTGCAGACTGCTGTGAAGGCTGCTCTGCCCCTGGGGCCACATGATCCAGCAGATCCAGTGGTACCTGAAGTATCAGTAGCAGGTAGAGTTG